AATATTTCCATACAGTGTGAAACTCATATGGTAGGTAAAAATATAAACAAATAAAAAACAAACAAAAGTGCAAATTTCAAAAATGTCCTAAATGGCTAAATAAATAAAAATAAAAATAAGACGGCAAATTATGAAATGTATTTATGTTATTTTATATTTATTTTCTCACCGACTGATTTTAAATTTGCACTTTGGTTAATATAATTAGTAAATAAAATTTTGTAGTTTGGTTAGATTTGTACCCCCTTTTATCTCTAAGACTTGTTTCGAAATACTCGGGTCGAAATCTTGATTGCCAATGCCAAAATCGAAATTTCGAACAGCTCTTATTAACTTATCATATGATGAAAATGTCAAAATGAGACTATTTATTTATAGTGTCTCAACAAAATTAAATTATTATAATATTTTGATAGATTTTAAACAAGTTTATTCAAATTATACGAGTATTCACTAGCTTTTAACATTTTGCTAAAATTCTATTTAAATATTTTTTTATTTGGTACTCGCCTTTAAAATTAAAAGTTGTTGTAAAGAGTTTCTTTAAACAGACACAAAATGTTTTAATATTTAATTTATTGTTAGATTTTGTTTTATTTGACGATATTCTTTTTGAACTATCTAAATTATCTGCAATTTTCGCGTCTAGAAAATTATTTTTCGAATCTGGGTCACTGATCCCGCGTACTTTAAAACAGACAAGTATTTTAACAATTTTGAAAATAAATACTATAACAGATATGCTTGTTTCATATATTATAATAGAATTCCAATCGACAAGCACGGATAGTGGAATTAAGTTTAGAATATGCTCGAATCTTACTAGTGCTAACTCAATGTTTGTATCACATAATGATTAAAAACCAATGGCGGATCAGGCTGGTTTTTGGGAGAAAAATACTAATATGCGAATAAATTCTACTAAGCTCTTACGAAAGAGTTCTAAATTTGATGCAATAATTTATTAACATTTGTTTTAATCTCCTACATAAGGCCTCCGCCGAAACTCCTCTCGACTTTTATTTCTTTAATTAATCTCTCGTTTCCATTAAATTAAAAACTTTGAATCACGAACAAGTATATTTTTAATATTGAAATTCAGATGATTAAATTGATTATTTCTTGTTGTTTTTATTTATCTTCCATTTTTAATATTAAATGTGATGGGAGAAAAGTTAGTATTGTAGTAAAAATTAAAGATGATTGGGAAGAAAAAAGAGAATTTATTTATTTAAAAAATGTTGAATTAGAAGAGCGTTTTGTATTGGAGAAAATTGAAAAGGGCAATAATCAATTTGATATTAGCTATAATTATAATATTGAGGGATTTTTGCGTCGAATTGACGTAAACAATCAAGGAAATAGTTTTAATGTTGAGATAGATTATAGATCAGAATATGCTGTGGAATTACAAAAGAGAATCTTGATTTATATTACTAATAATAAAATCATTCAAAATATTTTGATTGGATTTGAAAACCAGGTATTTATATTTTGCTTAGTTGAAAAATAAAATCAAAAAATCAAAACTGTAATTAAATAATAGCAATTAACTTTAATATTTAAATTTGTCATAAATTTAAGTTGATCAGGGGTAATCAATTTAATAAAATGAAAAATAATTATTATGAAACCTCCATATTAGAGGAGAATGTAGAGAATATAAAAATAAATAAAAAAGAATTATTCAAAGAAAATTTAGAAAATTACAAAAACAAACTTTTATCAAGTTATTGGACGGAAATTAATTTAATTGGATATAAAATTGAATTGTTAGAAAAACAAAAAGTTGAATATCCAAAAGAATTAAAAAACAAAATTATTGACAATGGAAATAAAATAAGTAAATAAAAATTTTAACTTTTTTATTTAATATTTTAATTTTATAGGAGTAACTATTGAAAAGAAGGAGCGATATTGTTTTAATTGTTGTCTTAAACAAATCAAAACTTGTTGGCTTAAATATCTCAAAGAGCACTATTTGTGTCATGCTTGTTTTGCTTATTGTCAAAAATATGGAAAGCATAGACATAAAAGCTTGTTTATTAAGACTAAAAAGGTTTGCTATTATTTGATACAGTAAGACGCGCTCCCTGATTTCATAACGAAATAATGTCTAAACTCATTCTTTATTCACCTGAACCATCAGAATTACTTGGTTTTTTTAGATATAAAAAATATAATTTTTTACCCCTATCCCGTCTTGATTCACAAAAATATTCTGCTTACTCGACGACAATCTGAAAACCTTGTACTCCCGCCCACTCTCAAGTTTTCAATATGGCAGGAAAAATGTTTTGGTGCATTTGAATCATGATACTTTTCAAAAATAGCATTTACATAAAACTCTTTTCGATAATATTCAATCTTGTTAAATTATCCCGCTTTATTCCGCTTTTCACTTCCTATTATTGATGTGCTTACAAAATTTATTTAAGGAGGATCGTCATTGTTATAATTGCGGAATTAAGCAAACAAAAATATGGTTGAATCATTCAGAACCTGGACAATATTTATGTCAATCATGCTACGATCGGGAAAGAAATAGAAAGAAAAAGTCAAATACAAATAAAAATGAAAATGAACCTGATAAAAGAAATATTTATAAACAGTATGAAAATTTAAGGAAGCAAAAAACATAAAATAAAATTACATTTCAATTCCTAACAATCATGAATATATCCTTTACATTTATACTAATAATTTTCTTTTAATTTATTATCCAGAAGCAGCGGGGAATGATTATCCATGACCTTATTTGTCAAATGCCTCTTAACTTCTAATCACTAGTACATTTACGCTTTATCTCGGGAGAATCGTAGGTGTATTTATTAATATATTTATTGAAAACCTTTTTCTTCGTTCCGATTTTTAGCTTTCTTAAAAAATTAAATTTTTATAAATATGTTTTAGTTTTTTATCAATTCATTTTTCACAATTATTATTTGTTTTTCACTTCTAACTCTCTGATTGTAAAATGTTTTAAAAAGTGTTAACTCTGTATTTAAGTTATACATAACTGTGGCTAAGTCTAAATGTTGGTGCCAAGCTAATGTACTTGTACATATGTATTTCCACAAATATTTATAACAAATTTAATTCCCAGTTATTTTTAAAGATAAAGACTAAAGCTCGGAAGTAGTAAACCCCCCCCCATACGCCCACATGTCGCATGTGAGACGGGGGCAGGGGGATGTGTTAAGGTGTAAGGGGTTTTCATCTCCCATCCGTCCCAGTGGGACCGATGGGTGTTGGGTGACCTTGACAACAAGTACAAGCAACTTTGCGGCTGAAAGGAGATGAACAAAGGGAGGTGGGGGTAGTTAATTGTAACTAAATTTCTCTGTTGTCCCACATGTTCCACCTGGGTAAATTAGGAAGAACTGGCGGTAAAACAAAAGAAAACCTATCGAAAAAGAACCTTTTCTTGTACAAGTACAAGTTTCCGCCATTAAGTTTCTCCCTTTCCCACGTGTCCCAGTGGGGAATTTGAGAGAAACTGGCGGTAAAACAAAAGGAAAACTTTTAAAAGGAAACCTTTTCTTGTACAAGTACAAGCAAATTTGTGGGCGAATGAAGGTGATCAAAGGAGAAAATGATGTAAGTTTCCGCTAACAAGTTTCTCCCTTTCCCACATGTCCAAGTGGGGAATTTGAGAGAAACTGGCGGTAAATCAAAAGGAAACCTATCAAAAGGAAATTTTTTTTGTACAAGTTCAAGCAAATTTGCTGGTGAATGAAGGTGATCAATGGGGAAGGGGATGTATGTTTCCCGCTATTAAGCTTCTCCCTTTCCCACATGTACCAGTGGGAAATTTGAGAGGAACTAGCGGGAAAACAAAAGGAAACCTAAGGATTTGGTACACTTTTCTTTATTCTCTGCTGTAATCTTCTGTTGTCATTGTTGTGACAAGATACAACTACATGTGGGAGTTGATAAATTGATTTTGATTGATTGACATATGACAAGGTACAAGTGTTGAATATTTATTTGATTCAAAACTTTATATCAAACTTTTATCTGATTTATATATTTCTCGTTCATTTTTGGCAGGGGGCTGGAGGAAGAAATTAAATAAAGGAAAATAATTATATTGACTATTTTTCTCGCAAGGTCATTTGCGGTAAAAATTTAAAATAGCTCTTTCAGAGTAAATTTTTCTCTTCATTTGTTCGTGGATATTAAAAAATTTTTGAAAAGATTTAAATTTTTTGAAAAACGTAGTTATTAATAACAAGTTAAAATTTTAAAATAAATTTTAAAATTAAAATACACAAAAAATTATAAAAAATTAAAGTTCAAAAAAGTAAAAATTTTTAAAACTAAAAATATTGATTAAATAAGGGTAAATGAGGAAAATGATAAATTTAAAATTTTAACAAAAAATTTTATATAATTTACAAAAATTATTTGATTTTTTTTTTGAAATTTTTTTAAATATCAAATTTAAAAATGCAAAACGAAGAAAAAACTTTATTAATTACTTTAGATCATCACATAAATAAATGTTGATCTTTAGGGTGGTATAGAAGAAATTGTGTTATAGAAGAATCAAGGGAAAATAAGTAATTAATTAAATTCCAAAATTACTGAAAATATCTTTTAAAGAAAATTTTACTTATACATTTGTGGGAATTTCTAAAAATTTAAAATTTATTAAAATCTCAAAATTTCAGAAAAGACTTGAGTTTTAAATTTACTTTAAATTTCATAGGGTTTGAAAGCAATAATCTTGAATCTATAGAAATTTTTATAAAACCAAATGACCTTGAAATATGAAATAAGCCAAAGCAGATTTTTAATTTAAACTTTTCTTTTACTGAATCATTACCCCAAAAACCCAAACGATTTATAAGTTTTGGAGTAAAATCATCTTGAAAATGATAGAAATGTTGTACTAAAAATTATAAAGAATTCCTTCTATTTTAATTTACCTCAAAAGATCAATGAATGATTAATGAGTTTTAAGTAAATATATGCTTAACTAATTTCTCTTGACCTTGACATGAAAATATTTCTAATTGGCCCACACTTATGAAATGAGGAGTATAAAAGCACTGCTTCTTTATCCTTTTAATCATTTGATTTATATAAACAAAAAAAAGCAATTCACATAAAACTATTCTAAAATGTCTTTTAACAATGGACAAAACGGGGCATCTGCAAACAAACGCCCTCGATTCCTCATCCGCAATCTACTTCCCCATTTATTCAATAATACCCAAAGCGGTGAGGGGGCAAAAAATTTGAAAAATAATTACCGAAAAATCGACTACGAAACTGAATTTAACCGAAAATTCAAAATGATGGCAACAACAGGGAAGTTTATTATTGAAAAAGTACCTGAGAATCCAGAGGAGTTGTTGAGAGAAATTATTCAAGACTGTATTGATCAAACTGTGGAGGAATCAAGGAATCAATCAGTCGAACCTGATCGATTAGGCGCTATAATCTCCTCACAGTTGCTTGATAACGAAATATGGATACCTATTAGAAAGTTGGAAAAAGATACAGTGGACAACATTTTAACCAGATTCCAGCTAGTTTCTCAGTCTAAAATAGAAAAGGGATCATTGTATGGTCAGCCATTCACAATAAAAATCCAGACGTTAGGGATTTCAGCACTTCCAAAAAATCAATCAATTAGAGGAAGTGCACCACAAGGCAATAGAACAAAAATTCCTCAACTAAGGGATGAATTATTTATTAAAATTGTCAATCCTAACAACTTATGTTTATTCTATGCGTTGGAAATTACAAAAAAATATGTGATTAAAGAATTGGGGGATAGACGAAATTTTAGTAGATATCTACAAAATAACCATCGGCAAATGAAAGATGTTTTTGATCTGTTAAAAGCTGCAAAAATCCCACAAGATCTCCCTGAATATGATGCCGTGGATTATGTGCCTGCTGTTGTCGAGTTTTGGAATAATCAATACAAGGATACAGGTTATAAATTTAAAGTATTTGTTTTTGGAAGTGTAAACGAGAAGCCTAAATTCAAATATGGAAATGAAAATTTCAATGTCCCTATCTCAATTTTTCACTCAAATAATCATTTCGATGGATTAAGAAATGTTGGTGGAATGTTCGGATTAAGAGTAAAATATTGCTTTACCTGCGAAAAGAGCTTTAGAAAAGACAAGGAGCATAGTATGAGATGTAAATCGCGTTGCCATCTCTGCGGGCGTGTAGGGGGAGACAGACCATGTGTGGCATCACCTGACTTTTTCAAAGAATGTGATGAATGTGGGAAAAAATACTTAAATAAAGATTGTTTTGAACACCATAAAAAAGGTAGCAACTGTCGTCAAACAAAACAATGTGAGAAATGTGGCGTAATCTGGTCGATGAAGAATATCAAAAGAGGAAATCAAAGGAAACACGTATGTGGTCAGAAATGGTGCCAAACTTGTTTACAATATCATAGTATGGATAGAGGTTGCTTTATTCAGCCTTTGGAGATTAAAAAATCAACACCTTACCGTCTAGTAACGTTTGACTTTGAAGCAACGCAAAATGAAAAGATAAATGTAAACATAGATGAAGAAAGACGAATTCATAAAGTTAACTTCATCGCCGCAACAGTAACTTGTACAAAGTGTATGGAAGATGAGCAAAAATGGCGTTCCTCACTGAAAAATTCTGGGAACAATTGTATAATCTGCGGAGCCAATCGATCAATCACATTTTCACATCGTACATTTCAGCAAACAACAGTCGATGAGCAAGTCATCACGCAGCAGCCACTTAAAGACTTTATTCAATGGATTCTTTTTGAACTCAATCCTCAATATTTAACTATGGCATTTTCACACAATGGAGGCCGATATGATATGATTATGGTTTTCAAAGAAATTTATTTGAAAGGTTTTGTTCCGACAATGATTCGCCGCGGTAACAAACTTTATGAATTAAAAATTCCACGTAACAAGAAATGCAATGAGGTTATATTTCGAGATTCATTTAATCTCTGTCCAGTCGCCTTGGGGAAGTTAGTTGGCGCATTTGGACTTCATGTTACTGAAAAACAATTTTTCCCTCATCTGGCAAATATCCGCGAAAATTATGGAAGAATCCTGCAAAAACTACATCCAAAAGATGATTATTTGTATGGAGGAATGTCACCTGAAAAGCAAAACGAATTTGATCAATGGTATGAGAAAGAAAAAAATCAGCAATTTTGTTTGGATGAAGCCTTGGCTGAATATTGTACGAATGACGTACAGATACTCACAGAAGCGTTAATTGCCTTCAAGAATAAATTCGCGGAAATAAGCAAGCAGAAAAATACTTCTCCTGGTACAAAGGCAGAGGGAATAGATATTTTACGTGATGCAATGACTATTGCGTCGGCCTGTATGAGACATTTTCGGGTAAACCATTTGAAACCTGATCATTTGGCAATTGTACCCGAAAAAGGATATGAAAATTGCGATAACCAAAGTGAACTAGCCCTGAAATATTTGCAATGGTACGAGGAGACAAAAGGAGTGCAAATTCAAAGTGCACATTCCGAAGGAGGTGAACATGTGGTAGCTGAAAAATACAAGGTTGATGGGTACATAGAAGTAGAAGATAGGGCAATTGAAATAAATGGGTGCGTTTGGCACGCATGCCAAAAATGTTTTGGAGATGATTTGAATAAAATTCTACCCAATGGAAAAACTGTGGGAGAAACGCGTGAAGATGATTTGAAGCGCTTGGAAATAATTAAAAAATATATTAAGAATGTTGATATTATATGGGAATGCGAGATACATCAGATGCTTCGCCGCAACAAGAAAATGAGGAAAGTTTTTGCAAATTATCACAACAAAGGTCCAATAAAGATTAGAGATTGCTATTTTGGCGGAAGGACAGGTCCTCTACAAATCTACTTTGATGCAGAAAAAGAAAATCATAAAATTGCCTACTTGGACTTTAATTCGCTTTACCCGTCAACAATTGCTACAACATCATTTCCGGTTGGGCATCCGAAAGTGCATGTTGTACCTCTAGCTGAACAACAAGTTTATTGGACAAAAAGTGAGCAAATTCCTTTCAAAGGAATTTTGAAAGTATTTATATTACCACCAACAAAGTTGGAAGTTCCTGTTATTCCAGTCAAATTTGATGAACGACTACTTTTTCCGTTATGCAGAAAATGCTCACTTGCATACCCGAATGGTGCAAATATCAAAGATTATAGTTGCCCACACAATGACGATGAGAGGGGATGGGTCTCAACATGTACCTCTATAGAGTTGGAAGAAGCATTAAACGCTGGGTACAGAGTTACAAGGTTTTATAGGGCGCTTCATTATAAGAAATGGGATGATAATTTGTTCAAAAATTATGTGGCCGAATTTATGGCTATTAAAATTCATGCGAGTGGGTTTCCTGAAGGAATAGAAGGAAAAGAAAATGAGGATAAGTTTATGAAAGAATGTAGAGAAAAATTCGGAATTGAGCTTGAAAGAGAGAAAATGGTCCCTGATAAGGCTATGCGTTACATTTCAAAGTTGATGCTAAACTCTCTATGGGGAAGGTTTAGTCTAAGAAATGGCCTATCAAAAAGTGTAGTCATCGACTGCCCCATTGAACTCGGAGAATATGATAACAACAATTCAATTGATATTCAAACTATCGATACTTTGACTAAGGAAACAATTTTGTTGACTTACAAACAAAAGGAAGAATTTATTGTAGAGCATGATACATCAAATATGGTGATATCATTATGGACAACATCGGCTGCAAGAATTAGACTATTGAAGGCGATGCAAAAGGTCGCTGACTCGCCAGGCTGCAATCTTCTCTATGGAGACACAGACAGCATACTTTTTTCACATCCAAAAGGCATAGAATGCCCTCTTCAAACAGGTCCTCACCTAGGTGATTTGGCAAGGGAGTATGCTGGATCTGAAATAAAAGAATATGTTGGAGGTGCGTGTAAGGCTTACGCACTGAAAATGGAGAGTAATAAAAATGCCAAAATAAGCTGTGTTCTTAAAGTGCGTGGAATCACTCTAACAGCTGATGTGTGTAAAATTTTACACTTTGACAGTTTTAAGGATAGTGTTCTTCAATATGCAAATGGGGGAGCTGACAGTGAGGAAGATGATGATTTTGATGAAGGGACAATTACAGTTGAAAATCCTAACTTTATTCGTCGAAACTTGAAGGATGGTATGGTTTATTCTACTAAAATGAGAAAAGTTTTTAAACCAATAATTCAAAAAGGAATAATTTCCAATGACCTCAAAATTGTAAATTTTGGACAAAAATAATTTTTTAACAATATTTTTTCAATTGTTTTCACAAATTTTTGAATTGTAATTTAGTAATCCAAAACATATTTTTCATTCATTTTGTATTTTATTGAATTGTAATTTAATATTTCAAAATATGTTTTGTTTCACTATTTCACAATTACTTAAATTTTATACATTGTACTTTATTATTTTAATTGTATTTATATGTGTGACGATAAAACTATTAAAATTAAAAGAATTATAATTAAGATTGAAAATTAAGGGTTAAAATAAATGTTAAGTTAGAGATAAAAATTAAGATTGAATTAAAGTTATGACTTAAAAGTTAGGGGTTATGTAAAGTTATGGATTAGGTTTAAAATAATGTACAGTCGAGGTTTACAAGATAACGACAGAAGATGTTTATTTGTAGGGAAAAATGAAATTTTAACGGCATGATTAATGTAAAGTTAAACTTTAGAATGTACAACTCATCTAAACCTAAGGATTATTAGAAACAATTTTTAAAAATTTAATGTAATTTATCTACTTTTCCACACTTAATTAACATTTCCAAAAATTTTCAATCTTTTTTTGAGTTTTTATCAAAATGATTATACACTAAAATGGAATAATTAAAAATTTTTGTGTTTTCCTAAAGATTAGTGAGGAATATTTTTAAAAATGCGGATTTGCGGATTTTGAGGTCTTTTGAAGATAATGAGATTATTTTTTGTATATACAGGAATATATTTAATTAATTTTATGGTCTTAATGATTCTAATAATTTTTTGCGGATTTTTGATAAAATGCGGATTTTTTAGGTCAAACTTCTAGAATATTAAAAAGTTCAGATGTGACCCTGAATTTTTACTTGTTTTTATCATAATGTTGAAAAGTTTTACAGAAATTTTTTGGTTTCAAAAAAGCGGCTTTTAACTAAATTATCAAGAATATATTTAATTAATTAATATATTTAATAAATTTTATTCGTAAGTAAAAAATGCCATAATTCGTAATATATAAATATTGAATTAATTTAAAAACAAATATTTTTTAATAAGTGAAAATACAAAGCGTAATATTTTAAAAATCTAAAATCGAAACTTCTTTAAAGTTTAGAAGGCGAGAATAAATCCTCTGATCTTCAAACGGAAAATTTTAGATTCCATTCCATATGCCCATATTTGATAAGAACCTAATATAGTAATTCCATTGCAGAATATAGTCCTTTTTGTGCCGCTTTTATGAAAGTAGATTGCCTTCAAAGCTTTTCTCTTAATATCATCAAGAATTTTACAATCTTTCATTTTTACAATCTTTCAGAATTATTTGTTAATTTAAAACGCATAGATTCCTCAGTACAATCCAATTTTTTTGAGATATTTTCGAATAAATTTGACATGTTTAATTTAATTATAATTATTTAAAATTAGACTAGAAAAGATTTTTACTTCTTTTTATAGTGTTGTCAAGGCCACACTTTTTTACTAGCTTTCTGTTGGCCATTTAAACTCATTTTATCAAATAGTTTAATAATTGTTCTTTCTTCAGAACAGAGGTTTACAATTGAAAATTTAAATTTTTTGATCTGCCAAACATATCTTCTAATAATAGAGTTCAATCGAGGAACCGATATTTTACATTTTTTACCAGTCATATCGATTATCGTTCCTACAAGCCATACATTTTTTCCATATTTATTTTTGTTCTTTACTAATACTATCATGTTCACTTTAAATTGATCGGTGTAGCGTCTCATTGTAAATTTTGGATTTTTTGAAATAAACTTGTTTATCCTGATGAATGATTTTTTACTAAAGATTTTGAAATGGGCGTAACGCTAAAAAAGATTTTGAATTGGGCGTGGCCAAGCGTGGCAAAAATTTGAAATATATTGAAATACAACTATTTCCGGACCCTAGCATGTTTGGGCTTCTCCGACAGTGTGTTTGCAAAAAAGATTTATTTCAATAAAAATCCGGACACTACTAATGATATTATGAAAGTCCGACAATTAGCAGAAAAAGTACACTTGAAGTGAGCCAATGATTTCACCGTTTCTACTTGTAGTGAGTTGCGTAAGCCAAAAATTGTCACTTTTCAGAGATGCAGGCGAAAATTTTGAGGATTTCAGTAGGTCAAACAGAAAAATTCAATTGTTTGAGGCAGATGTAAAATTTTTGTAAAGCTTAGAACATTTCACTTATGCCTTATTCTCAGATTATTGGCACATGGTATACAGAATTTTCCAAATAAACAAATATTTTAAATTCTATTTAGATATTCCCTTTAATATATAATAAAATAATTTTGATATCAGAAAAAAGGATCTACACGTTGCAAAAATTTAAAAATAAATGTAAAATGAGAATATATCTTTTCTTTTATTATCTTAATAAATTTATTAATTTTATACATGTATCCGCAGCAGCGTGTTCCTTTCCAAAACACAAAATAGGGCGAAGCGACTCATAAATATGGCAATAGGAGGGCAAAATTGGTCAAAAATAGGGCAAATGCCCTGTAAATAAGGAAAAGGGACACCCTGATCCGAAGGTAATGTTAATCTAAGAGAATTAGCGTGTAGCGGGTGTGTTGGAGAAATGCTATATAAAAGATTTCTGAGTATTAAAACATTGAAGAACTATCAGGGATTACGGAGGTTAGAGTTGATTTGGAGGATTAAGAAGATATCGGTATATTTGGAGAGATAAGGCGGCTATAATATCAATTTAGTTTTCACACGTGACCTACCAGCGGTCAACTTTTCGGGAGAAGTGTCTGCGCCGAAAAATAAGAAAGAAAAGAAAAAGGAAAATAAACGATAGTTTTCTCTTCTTTTCTTTTACCCTCAAGTAGTATTATAGAAGGTTTTTAAAAAATCATTAAAAATCGAAATTTGATGGAAAAAATTATAATTTAATATTTTTAGATAATTTGAATTTTCCTATTTTTTATAAAATTTTTGTAAGTTTGTCATCAAAACTATTTATAAGAATTTTTAACTAAAAGTACCCAATTTTTAGTGATTTTTAAGAAAAATTAATTCCTTGTTTTAATTTTTTAAATCAAAGATAATACTCCAATTTATATTTTGGCAAAAATTAAAAAGTTATAGTTTTTTCAATAGGAAAAAATAAAAAACAGCGACGCCAAACCCGCGGCGTAGGGCCACATCGGCGCTGTTCTTACGATGGTTACCTAACCACCTTATTTTAGGGACCTGGGCTGGGTACCACATATGGAATTTAGTAAAATTAATTCCATCTGAGTAATCGGTTAGATGAAATAATAGGAATGATTGAAAAATATATGAAAATGTATAAGATTAAATTTTTACTGTTAAACAGTTAATAATAATAATAATTGTTAAAAATAATCTCCTAAGTTATCAGGATATATTTACTTACGGAAACAATTTGCTAACTCACTGTGACAAATTGCTATACTCACTGTCCTACCCATAAACTTATTAGTAGAGTTGTGATTTTTATGCAAATGCATATTTTTTTTGCAAACTTGTCTTGACGTATAATGCACAAAAAACACTGTTTCCGCATGTTTTGAAAACATTAGAGGGGGTTTCTATTTGCATATAATGCATATTTTTGCATATTTCGGACTTTGGTGCATAATGCATATTTTAATGCATATTTTGAGGATTTTGGGTAAAATATCGCGAAAATTGTCCAAAATCCTGCCAAAAAGTGAAAATTTTGTAAAAATTTCGGAAAATTATGTAAAAATTTTGGAAAAATTTGTAAAAATTACAAATTTTGTAAAAATTTTTTTTTGTTTTTGGGCGCGCCCCAAAAAATGTCCAGGACCCATAATGTCTCAACCCAAAAATTTCCCACCCCAAAATGTCACACCGCCAAAACGTCACATCTAAAATGTCCAACAACGTAAAAATACTCAACCTATACGTTTAAAATGGGAGTAATCGTTATAAAAATAGGTTTTTGAATGTTTTCGACTAAAAAATGTGAAATTTCTAGGTATAATTTGTATTTTTCTTGCATATTTGCATGCATATTTTGGTTTTCTTGCATATTTTCGTGCATATTTTGATATTTTTATGTGCATATTATAGTGCATATTTTCCATTTTTTAATGCATAAAATTCACAACTCTACTTATTAGGCTTGAATAAAGACACACATCCGATACAGATTCACATTGAGAAAAATTGAATTTTTTGAAAAATTTCCCGTTTAAAAACGTCGAGATTCATGATTTTCTGACTTACAGGATTTTTGCTAGTCAATGACGGATATCAATGCAAGAAATTGAGGTAGAGAAGGTGCTACTATCTAAATATTCGTAGTAATTCTTAACTTTTCAACAACCTTATCTTCCAATTCTTAACTTAAAATTAATTGTGTCTTTTATCTCTTAAATTTACATAAGGTTTCTACTCTATATCGTAATTTTATGCCATTATATTATGCGTACAAAAGATAATGTCGTGTCTACAATCATGCACTACCACAACAATGGAAGTCCGCATATTGTTACGTTCCCCATACAGACGCAATGCATACGTCAAAGATTCGCGTCTACCAATTATTTTGATTAATTTTACCAAAAATGCTTGCTATTTATCTTAACTTTACACCAGTTTTAACTTTTAATCCTTAAGTTTAGAACAATTGTATCTTTTAATGCTTAACTTTACACCAATTGTAGCTTCTAATGCTTAAGTTTGCATTTCTACCCCCAAAACTTACATCATTTATCTCTTATCATTAAATCAATTGTTTCTTCTATTGCTTAACTTTATATCAATTTTGTTTTGTAATTCTTAAGTTTACATCAATAGTATCTTTTAGTGATTAACTTTACAGTAACATTGTCAAAATCTACTCATTACATCTCTTATCATTACATCATTTTATCTTCTATTGCTTAACTTTACGTGAATTTTATTTTATAACAGTTAAACTTGCAAGAAGGCATCCAAAGTTCTCAAAAATTTTGCCTGCGGCGAAATAACCGTAGGCCGAGCTCCCCACCTTTGGCAGGAGCTCCCAACCTTAGGCCGGAGGTCCAGACCTGAGGCCGGAGCTCCACACCTTAGGCCGGAGCTCCACACCTCAGGCCGGAGCTCCACACCACAGGCCGGAGCTCCACACCACAGGCCGGAGTTCCACGCCTCAGGCCTGAGATCCCCAACATTTTTCAAAATTTTCGCCTGCGGTTCAGAAAATGGATGACATCTTACTTAATTTTCTTTAAATTTTTTGAAAATTTTCGCTTGCGGCGCAGAAAAACGAATTTGGGCATATTGGTGGAATACAGGGGGAATTTTGTTGGGGGAATTGGGGGAATAAATTTTGTGGATAGCAGGAGATTTGGAGGGTAACCAGGAAATATGTCTACAAATCTCTAAACATCACCTCTTAATATCGGGCGATTTAAAGGGATTAAGATGGATATCTGTAGATTTGAGGTCTACTCTTGTCTTCTTAATTCTCTGAATAAAAAATAAATTTAAAAAATCGAACTTAAAAAAATATTTTTTCAATATGTGTAAAAATAAATAAAAAATTAAAGATTCAGGATTTAGATTAAAAGTGCCCATTTAATCTAACTACTTTATCTGCGTACTATTTTAAACGAAAAAAATTGAAAAATAATAAAAATAATTTTTTAACCAATAAATTTAAATTGCTTATAATTCCAATTTTTATTCAGATTTTTAAAATTTTTATCTCGAAATTTCGAAAAACTTTACGAAATTTTAATTTTTTAATTTTAGAAGAATTTCCACAAGCAGAAAATAAAGATTTTACAATTAAATGTTTATTCTTTAATTTTTCCCGCAAATGACCTTGGAAGAGGGAAAAACGTCAATTTATTTATTTTCCCCTTATTTTTTAATTTTTTGTTTAATGTTTTTTTTGCTTTTCCTTTACTTGTACCCTCACATCAGAGACAAAGGTTTGTCAAATCATTAGGTTTCCTTTTGTTTTCCCGCAAGTTTCTCCCAAATTTCCCACTGGTACATGTGGGAAAGGGAGAAATTAATAGCGGAAACTTGTACAAGAAAATTGTTTCCTTTTGATAGGTTTTCTTTTGACTTACCGCCAGTTCTTCTGAAATATCCCACTGGTACATGTGGGACATCAGAGAAACTTAGTTACAATTAACTACCCCCACTTTCCCTTTGATCATCCACATTCAGCCGCAAAATTTGCTTGTACAAGAAACGGTTTCCTTTTGATAGGTTTCCTTTTGACTTACCGCCAATTACTAGCTGGAACCCACACTTTCCCCTTTGATCACATATATCCACCCTCAAAATTGCTTGTACTTGTACAAGAAAAGTTTTCCTTTTGTTTTACCGCCAGTTCTTCTGAAATATCCCACTGGTACATGTGGGACATCAGAGAAACTTAATGGCGGAAACTTACATCACCTTCCCCTTTGATCACCTTCAATCACCCGCAAATTTGCTTGTACTTGTACAAGCAAAGATAGGTTTCCTTTTCAGTTCTTTCGAATTTACCTAGCTGGAACATGTGGGACATGAGAGAAATTTAATAGCGCAAAATTCTACCCCTTTCCCCTTTGATCACCGTCATTAAGCCGCAGAATTGCTTGTACTGTTGTCAAGGTCATTTCCTTCCCAACACCCATCGGTCCCACTGGGACGGATGGGAGCAGAAAACCCCTTCCCCCTGCCCCCATCTCACATGCGACATGTGGGCGTATGGGGGGGGTTTACTACTCTCGGACATGACACCTAATGGTAATCTAGATAAAAATATGTTTGAAGTTGAAATAATTGATTCCAGGGAGTCGACTGGAATTTACTGTTTAAGGCTTAACA